GGTCGGTGGACACAGAGAGCTGGGTCTTTCTGTTTAGGCTCCTACACGGGTAGTCTTCAACTTACGACCAAAATCCAAACATAGCTCTAACACAGAATCCTAGGTTGAAAAGGCTCTTGAGTTCAAATCCTGATCGGCCAAGCTCAGGTTTTAGATGGGTTTTTAATCTTTCTGCAAAGTTATTTCCTGGTCGGATCTACCTGGCAGATCTGACAGCAGAACCCCTGATTTTCTGCACAAGAGGTTGCTGTTTCAGGCCTTCTACAAAACATAGAGAAGGCAAACTTGCTTTGGTGATTAAAGAAGGATTTATAGTCTGAAATGTAATCTGCTACCTAGAGAACTACTCAAATTATTGGATGTTTTTCTGAATGTAGGCAGACGATAGCATTAAAACACCAGAAAGCTATAATAATAATAATCGTGGTTAGTGATTTTTTTTTTAAAAAAAGAGAACCAGGCTATTTTATACAGGCCACATGGAAGGATTTATATTCCTTGCAGAGAGCTGGTGATTTGCCTTCTTTTAGGGAGACGTTGAGGCCACTTGGAGGTTGACCTGTGTCTACCTCAGGGTCACCTGAGTGGTGCAAATGGGTGTGGAGCCTTCTCGGCTGCAGGATGTTTTCTGCCCTGGGTCCCTTCCCTGTTGAAGACTCTCTAAGACAGGGGTCTTCAAACTTGGCCCTTTGATGACTTGGGGACTTCAACTCCCAGAGTTCCTCAGCCAGCCTCCATTTTGTTTGTTAGATTTAAGACAGGGGTCTTCAAACTTGGCCCTTTGATGACTTGGGGACTTCAACTCCCAGAATTCCTCAGCCAGGCACGCTGGCTGAGGAATTCTGGGCGTTGAAGTCCCCAAGTCATCAAAGGGCCAAAGTTTGAAGACCCCTGCTCTAAGGGAAGGCAAATGACCAGCTGTCTGCAAAGAATATAAATCCTCCCATTTCTCCACCATCCAGTCAGAGCTGAAGAAGCTTCTGGGATGAGAAGCGAAACGTCCTCAAAGAAACACAAGAAAGTCCAGTGGCCTCCTGAAAAAAAAGCACCTTTGAGACAACCATGACCTGGAGGATGGAGAATCTCCACAAATACGTGTGGATCTACTATTTATACCAGACTTGGCCAAATTAAGAGGGCTTTCCACCCCACCCCTCACCCCAAATGTAGCCTGTGCTGAGACCTTGGAACACACTGTCCATAGTGGTTACTTGGAAGAGATCCCAGGTCTACATTTTATAACTGCAGGAAGCTTGACAGTCCTACCCCACAAGACGGGAGAATTTCACATGTATAAATAGTAGGTGGCAATTATGCTGGAATCTGCCTCAATCCTCTCTGTCTTCTTGGTGCCAGGAGGAAGGGACTAATTCCTGTTTGTCAACACAGTTTTGTGCTGATTTATATAACTTCAAGGGGGCAAGGGAGAGTCTTTTCAGAAGCCACCTATTCAATCTAGACAATTGCTTCTTCTGTTCTGGGAAGCTACTGAGAATTAAAAATAAGCAAATTAACACACAGGCTTCCATGGAAAACATCTGCTCTTAATATCGAAACACATCACGGAAAGACTCGTGGTTTGAACTCTGGGTTTTTTTATGTCCTTTTTCACTTTTTCAGTTTTAATTCGAGTTGCTTACAGTTCTTCTGATTGCTCCTAAAAACCTTTAATATACAGTACAGGCGATGCTCGACTTATGAGCCCAACATTTCTGTCGCTAAGCGAGGCAGTTGGTTACGTCAGTTTTGCCCCCATTTTACGACCTTTCTCGCCGCGGATGTGAAGTCAATCACCGCAGTTGCTAATTTAGTCACAGGGTTGTTAAAGGAATCTGGCCTCCCCGTGGACTTTGCTTGCCCGGCGGTCACAAAAAGGGGATCACGTGACCCCGGGACACTGCGACCGTCATAAATAGGAGGCAGCTGCCAGGAGTCTGAATTTTGATCACGTGATCATGGGGATGCTGCAACGGTCGTAAGTGTGAAAAATGCTTATGTCTTTTTTTTTCTTTTTTTTTTGATGACTACACCAGCACGGATGATGTTACCTAGTTTGGGTAATGAAACGTCTGCAAGAAAATAATGAACTCAGAGAGCACCAAGGACCCCACAATTGTCATCCTTCTCCTCCTCCTCCTCCTCCTCCTCCTCCTCCTCCATGCAAACCCCATTCCCTTCTAGCACGGATGATGTTGCCTAGTTGGGTAATGAAATGTCTGCAGGAAAACAACCAAGCTCAGAGAGCACCAAGGACCCCACAATTGTCATCCTTCTCCTTCTCCTTCTCCTTCTCCTCCTCCTCCATGCAAACCCCACTCCCTTCTAGCACGGATGATGTTACCTAGTTGGGTAATGAAACATCTGCAAGAAAACAACCAAGCTCAGAGAG